AGAAATTTATGATTTTCTTTTTTGTCTTAGGAGAGGATCATTTAGATGTTGATTGAAAGTAGAAGTTAATGATTCTTGCATACCGAGCTGATTTCATGGACATGTCCACATTGTTTTCTTGACAACAGTGGAGATGATGATGATGATGATGATGATGATGATGATGATGATGGTAATGATGATGATGATTTACTTCCCTGTGCATCCTAGTGGTCTGGAATTTTCCAGTAGTCAGACATCTAGCAATTAATGGACCTTATCACGCTTTCTGGAATCAGCCAAGGTCAGCTAGGTGGTGCTACTCAACTAGGTGAAACTAAAAATACTGTTTTCCGTTTGCTTCTGTTTAGTTGTTTTCCTATAACTGCACTAAAAGAAACACAGGTAAAGAAACCTTGCACTTTAACAATCTGGAGATACATTAAAATATTTTTATTAAATATTTTGACTTAGTAAAACATTTCACTTCAATCAATGTATTGAAAAGATATCCAGATATTAACCTACAGTTTAACACTTTCTCATGAATAGCTTTCAGGGGAATAGCCATATTAGTCAGTTGCTGTAAAATAGTCTTGTGGCACTTTAAAGATGAACCAGTTTATTAACCCATAGCGTTCACAGGATAAAGTCAATGCACAGTCCATGGAAGTTTATGCCATAATATTTTTTAAGAGCCAGAGACTCTTGGATGCTGTAAATGACTTAAAAACAAATCATTTTCAATGAGAAAGAAAATTTAGAAAATATAAGCAGATATTATTAATAACAACAACCACATGTTTAGGTAACTAGGAAATGGCAGAGTTGTGGAACTACAAAAGCTGAACAGAAGTAGCAATGCCTGAAAAAGATGATTTGAGGGAGGGGGACATACACATGACTGTATGAATAAATACATAAATAAATCGATTATTGATAATTCCAGTATGTATCTTCCAATTAGATTAGTATGGAAATCTACCCCTAGATTTCACTTAATATTGCAACATAATAAATTCAAATATGAAATTAAACATTTTAATGGAAAAAAACAACAACATTATCTGTTTAAGAATGCTTTGTATGTGCATGTAAACTATATGAATGTGCATATATTTAATTGCTTGCTTCCTCCAGAATACCTAAGTACATGGAGCCACAATACTTTCTTTAGTTTTTCATTTTAATTTCTTTTAGCATTCAGTCCAAAATGCTTAGTAAGTCATATGTTGGTCACCGGTTGTACAGTTACCAGTTGCAATTGATGTTTGGCAATTAAAAGCTCTTAGCCAATTGATCCCTCTAATCCAGCATTTTTCCAACTCGGAAACTCTAAGATGGGTGGACTTCAACTCCCAGAATACTTCAGCCAGTATGCAATATCCTTTTTTCAAATACAGCACAAAATATGAAAAATATTTGCAAACAACAAAGTTTAATGGAAGTAAATTATAGAAAATTATAGAAATATTCTGAAAAATCAGTAAAAACAATAAAATAAAATAAATAACATGTTGACTTATCTACCATGAAAGGACAAGAGGAAAGAACTCTATCTGCCATTTGGGATGGTAACATATGTTTTGACAATGAAGAAGATAACATCAATGTGTTAAATATTATTCCAGTTTATATAATAAACAAATATTAAATTTGGAACTGAATATATAGACACAATACAGCTTATCAAATTTACAGAACAAGAAAAGGGAACTGTCAATAGTGAAATTAGTGAAGAGGAAACAAAAAGAAGCAATAAAAAATTGAAATTGAATAAATCTCCAGGATTAGAAGGAATTTCTACAATATATTATAAAACTTTCTAGGAAATTTTGATTGTACCATTGACTCAGGTAATGAATGAGATTCAACAACATCAAATACTTCCTTTTTGAAAGCTTTGATTTTTTTGGTTTATAAAGAGGAGGAAAGACCCAATCTATTTGTTACTTAATATAGACTACTATATTACTATAAGGGAACATAACAGGGTGTCACATCTCTCCTTTATATTAGCATCAGAACCATTGGCAAAGAAGATACAACAAGAACATAAAATTTCAGGAATTAAATTATCCAATCAAGAACTCAACATTATATGCAGATGATGTATTTACAATTATCTATCCGATAATGATGATGGATGGACAGATGGATGGATGGATGGATGGATAATCTCAGTACAGTTCATTATCTGGATATTAGGTTAATAACAAGACTCAAATGATGACATAAAACTTAGTTGCAGAAGAAAAAAAATTCAGTAAATAAAGGGTGTTGACATTACTTTAAAAATAATAGGTATTGGGAAATTTTTTTAACAAAAATAGTAAAGATTAATTCAAGAAAAAAATATTCCCAGACTTGGAAAAGTATAATGGTAAAAATCTTAAGATGGAGAAAGCTGAAACTGTCCTGGTTAGGAAGAATCACAGAAGTAAAAATGAATATTTTATTAACACTTAAATTTTTGTTTCATATTATTCCATTAAGAATTGAAGACAAAACATTTAGTGACTGACAAAAACAAACAACTCATTTTATATGGTATGAAAAAGATCCAGGGTAAATCATAAGATCCTACAAGACTTGAAAGACTGAGGTGGACTGGCAGTACCAAATTTTAAATTGTATTCCCTTGCTAATTGCTTAATTTGGATAATGGATTGGATCACTGCACTTTATGGTTGGACTGTTTCAATGTAAGGGCAAGGACACCTTACCCTGGTGGCCTACGCCTAAATAGAAAAATACAGTCTATAAAGGATTGGATAATAATAAGTAGCATTTTTAAAAATATAGGATAAATATAGGAAAAGAACTAGTCCAGATTTATCACCTCTTGCTTCAGTATTAAATATTTATCTTTATGAAGGAGAATGTACAAAGAATTTTGACAGGTAGACAGTCCTTTGAGATTGTCTCTTCAGAAACCATCATTCTCTCCTAAAAAAATGTACACCCCAACATCAAACATTTAGGAAACATTTAGGAAAAGATAAGTTGTTTGTTGAGACTACCTGCCAAGTCTTCTGAAGTTGTTCTGTTAAACTACTCCTTCCAAAAAGATGAACAAACAACAGTTCCCCATCTTCAGGCATATAAGTTGGAATGATTATGTCCCCAATACTATTTCAGACCGCATCAATTACATTTCCTTAGATGCATTGATAGTTCTGATAAATTTACAGATAACCTGGATCTTTGGGGACATATGATATTGTCATACCATGCATTTTCTATTTCCTCTCTTACATGTTTTAACAATCAGATTTTTGTTTCTTTAAATCACAATTTCCAATTAAATCCAAAATGGAGCATTGCAGTTTAAAGTTTGTTTCCTAACTAGGAGAGACTGCCAGCCATCTATTTCCAGACCATGTTCATTTTTATGTATTTCTTTCCTTCTCTTTTTTGAACTATGCAATTTGAAGGGCAATTATAGCATGGATTAGTCTACATTCTAATACGTGTATTTGTCTAGGCAGTAAGAGTTAAGATAATTCACTTAAAAATGGAGACCCCCCCCCCAAATACTCAGTTTCTGCAGCTAACAAGGATCATTAAAGTAGGTGGTCTACTAAGATAGGAAGTCTCAGTCTACTTCAGCAAAAAGAACAAGGAAACTTGCAATACCTTGAAGACTCAAAAGTTTATTTTGGCATAAGATTTCATGGGCTAGACTCTGAGAGTTATGCAGTAAATCAGCATCAACTCCGAGGTACTAATTTCAGAGGGACCTTTTAAGAAGAACAGGAATATAATGCCAAAGTAGCATAGAGTGAGATTTGAGTTAGACTCCATGGCAAAACATGGAAAATTTTAAAAAGGACCATACTACCAAAAAAAAAAAAAGTATTTATATGGGAGACTTCTGGGGAAGAAATGACAAACTAGCAGAGCTGACGACTGTGATGGAATGAAAAGCCAGTGAGTAGACTGACTGTTCAAAATTCCTTTCCGAACAAGGAGAAGACTTGAGATCATCCATAAGTACTCCAGACAGTTGCTTCTCATGAGGAGACCCCAAGACAGGGTTCTCTGGCAGGTTTAGAGCTCTGGGAGATGAGGAAATACCCATGTTGCTCAAACCACAGTTGGCACCTTTAAAAGGACACTGGGTTCATATATTTCCTTTTCTAATCACTTTTGGAAATTGCTTGCTAACTGCTTTTCAGCTATTGGGAACCTTTGGATCAACAGGTTTTATAGCACCAGGTGAGTTTCCTTCAATCCTTAGTGAAAGAAGTTTTAAGTACAAGTTTAAGGACTTAATTATTTTTACTGGAATAAACAGCAAAAGAGTGATTAAAACTTTGATTTTAGAAAGTTACAAGTGGACTAAGGGTCCAGATAAATTTGAAATAAGATTTTGGAATTAATTATAAGAATAATTCCCTTTGGAAAAGACTTTTGTTTTGAATTCTTTAAAAAAAAATAATGATAGAATAAGACTTTGAAGATTGGACACTGGAGGGAACTAGAATGAGCTAAAGATTATAATTTAAGGAGAAGAACACTTAAATTTGACTTACAAATACAGAATGGAGCAAAATATTTTAACATTGGACATATTGAAGGATATTTTTGAACAATAGGCCCAGAAGTTAATTTTAAGACTGCCTCTATAGATAGACTGTGTTTAAAAGATGTTATAGAATTATACAAATACAGAATGGAGCAAAATATTTTAACATTGGACATATTGAAGGATATTTTTGAACAATAGGCCCAGAAGTTAATTTTAAGACTGCCTCTATAGATAGACTGTGTTTAAAAGATGTTATAGAATTACTAAATTTGTTTATATTTGTTGGGATGAAGGGGGAAGTCATTTCTTTATATATTTCTTTTCTTTTCTTTACTATATTCTTATTTTTTCTTTCTTTTCTATTTTTTCTATTTTCTTTTTCTGCACCTTTTTAATATTTTTTAGTTTGTATTAGTTTTTTATTGTTGTAGTTGTAATTGTTAATAACATTATTATTAAAAAGGAAAGAAAAAGTGTGTATATGGACCTTCAGGCATAGAGGATATTGTGTATGTTCTGTTTGACTGCCAAGTATATGATTTAGTAAGAATACAGAAATTAGAGTCATTACTTGACAGAACAGCCTATTGGTATATTGAAACAAATTGTCTTATTTCTTCCAGGATGTAAACCCATTTGCATCACCAAGTAAGATCACCAAATATATAGTTAAGGCCATTCAACTGAAAACTCATTTTATAGAACAGTAATATACAAAGGCGATCAATTTGGTTGAATGTACTCCTTTTTATATCTTTGTATATTTGCATTTATTTTACATTCTGCTGTTGTTTTTGTATTTTGATAAGGTCAATTGACTACTCAATAAAAATGAATGAAAATGAATATACAGTGTTGGAATAGTACTGAAGAGCCACCTGACCTCTAAAACTTCCTGACTGACTCTGGACCACTCAGTAATTAATAAGAGAAGAACGAAGACCATTCCTAAGCACAATGATGGCAAAATGATGAAAGATGCATTGTGACCTCGCAACACAAGCTCCATCCTTTTGTAAGTGAAAGAAATTAAAGGAAGGAGATTAAAAAAAAGCGAAGAGAATACAGCTGAATGTAGGTTTCACAAGTGTGCACTATACTTCTGTATACCATTCCATTCTTGCAAACTATCCTTGCTTTCAACACATTCATTCATCACCTAATACATTGCCTTTTGTTCATTAATCTTTTCATTGCTCTTTTTTGAGGATGGCATCCAACTAGAACTTTCCTCTCAACCATTCATTCTTGCTTCATATGTTGAGATATATATACCTTCTTTTTTACTTACTCTTTTTTATTTGGTCCCATTCATTCAGAACTCATTCCTTCTGACTGCTATGTCTTCTACTTTTCCACACACTTTTCCACATTCAACTGCATTCAAGTTACTTTTATGTTTCTACTGACATATCCAATGCTCTCTTCCATATAATGAAGTGGGCAGAAGCGTAAGATAAAACTGACGATTTGTCTCAACGCTGCATGTCCGCTACTGTATAGTAAATTGTGCCCATCACATACAATTGGAAACATACTGTGAGGATGCTATTTTGTTAAGGTTTTTTTTTTTTTTTAAGTCCATAGGATTCCAAAGTTTCTCAAAGAGCAAGTATTTGCATTTGATCCTTGCTGAGAATTTTGCTTCTGTGCTACTAAAAATGATTTGATGAAAACTGGAAGGCTATTTCTTTGAGAGATCTTTCAGAGATGGGACAGCTGGAAAATACTTCCCACTGCAATGGAACTCAAAGGCTTTTATTAGAGAATTTTCTTCCTGCTGGTCCCATGTTTCTCTCTTCCTCCCCATCTCTTTCCTTTGCCTTCGGTCTGTTTCACTCTGTGTGCTTTTAAGCTTTCAGATAGTTTACCTCTTGGCGGCAACAGTACTCACTACTGACAGAAGAGACAAGTAAAGAAGGTGACTGGACAGCCTTATTGACAGCCAGAAAGGACTAAATTGATTATCCCCAATGAAATACAATAAGAGGAAGACATTTCACTAAAAGCATATCCTTTGAACAAGCTCTCTATTAATTAATTGTTAGCCCCAGGAGATAATGTGGTGCCTAAACAAGAAAGCAAGGCAAAAAGAAAGAGTATGTGGCAAGAGGAGGGAGGAGGGAGAGCAGCTCGGTCACCTTTTAATAACTCTATCAAAGGATATGTGTCGCCAAGCAGGCTGCCCTGGCATATCTCTAAGATTCCCAATGTACACTAAGTGCAGCCCATTTAGCCATTATGTCTGAATATCAATAATGAGAGAGGAAATTTTTTCTATAGAAGTATCTATACCAATTAAGGGCTTTCTGTTTTAAAGAGAGCTGTTATGTGCCGAAGTCTGAAAGTTCCTTTCAAATACATTGCAGAAAGAGCCAAAATATACATCCATTTTTCTCAATAAATGTCTAATATAAGAACCAACGAACCATCCAACACATTGTTTTTCTGAATCAGGCTGAATGCCAGGAATCCAGCATTCTCTTTGACATAATGGCCAAACAGATTATATAGGAAGCTCAAAAACAATGCCAGTTAGAGGGAGCCCTCTCCCACCTTTGTTCTATAGCAACTGGTACTTAATGTAGGGTGACATTGCTGTTGTTGTTCTTGTTCTTATTATGTTTAATTTGTACAACTGAATGTAATGCTGGGATAGTAATGGCCATTGAGAGCTCTATATTAAAGAATTTGGCTAGCCCCTTTTAAAGCCATCTAAATTGATGGCTGTCATTCCATCTGAGTGAAGGATTTGGTTGCAAGTTCTTTTAAAAAAAAACATGAGCAATGTCCTATTTTTTAAAAATAGGAACTTCAGATAATTTCACATGCCATAGATCTTTAGAAAACAAATGGCATTAATAATTATGTGGCGGCCATCTAATTTTCTTGGTTTAAACCTTATTTTATAACTACCATCATTGTCAATTACTTGTATCTGACAGAAGCAGACTGAGGTCAGGGCATGGAGGCTGAAGTTAAATCTCCAGCTCTTCCTCTCAGGTTTACTCCCACTAATATTAGCTGATGTCATTCTATCAAGCTGGATCAATGTCACAGAACAGAAATTACTGTCACATGGGTTATCAGCAGGGTTTATACAATCCCAGGGCTATAACCATGTCAAATATACACTCCTGCAAGATTAAATGATATTGAGTTTCAGGTAGAAGTGAACAGCTTGGCACAAGGAAGCGGGACCTTGGTGACAAAGAGTTCCTGGAAAGCAGACAATTATCTCTTCTCCCATTTCCCAAGTTAAGGAAATTACCTGGGCTAGGCATAATATTTCATAATATTGGCCCACTTCAAGGAAGATATTCTAAGGTCACATATGAGAAACATACAGAACTGGGGATATTTTAACAGTTCAACGTGTGCTATTATACTGTAGCATTTGTAGGGCATCTGCAGTGCTTACCTCTGCTTCATCAGTGTCCTGGAAGAACATATACTGTAACTTTTATATAAGTTTACTTTTCTCAGACTTTAAATCTTCTATGAACCGGATTGTAGCAAAATACTGTGTAGTGGCAGTGAAAAATGAGGTCCCAACAAATGTAAGTCTTCCATAATTACAACTCATTTTACTATTTTTACTACTGTTTAATATTCTTGTCCTTGGCCATAATAAAAGATGATGATGATGATGATGATGATGTTGATGATGATGACGACAGAAAAGTAGTTGCAATTCTTCCTACCTTTTCCTTCCCACAACAGCTGAATGAGCTGGCTGCTAATATTCCAACACAGGGATTAGTTTTTCAGACTTCAGTTTTATGTGGTTCACCCAATTTTTGCTAATCCCTTTACACTCTATAAAGCTATCACATAATATGGGAGGAAACAAGACAAACATAAAAGGGTGCACATGATGATGACTGTTAGTGCCAGGGCACATGAAACTTTATGGGCTAGAGGTGCTTATTACCAAGATCTGCACAGCCTTTCCTCTGCTGTGTGTGGCATGTGATGGTAATCATGAAAAAGAGTTTATGCCTTTTAATAAAATTTGGTAGTTGAAAAAGGTGCTACCAGAATCTAGATTTTCTTGTCCCCATAGACTAACATAGCTCTCCTCCTACGATGTACAGGTACATGGAGGTACTGTATATGGAGAGTTTCTACCCGCATTGAAGGATTTTGCTGAACTAGAGTTCTTTCCTGAAGTCAGAGATTTTTCAGCATGGATTTTTTCTCTAAAATCAGATGTTCATTAAGGGAGATAGAGGACAGTACTTCCTGTATGGCTTCCAGAATTCATCTCTTATTTTGATTTAGTGGCTGCCAATTTTCCAAATTGAAGTAACAGATTCAAATTAACCTGTTACAGGTTCCTCCCCCACCCTCTTTGGGTGCCATGGCCTTAAGAACCTCCTTAGGCCATGGGAACAGAGATTTGGCAGGTCTGGTAATCAGAAATGCTTTCATTTGGCTTTTTAAAAATTAATTCTGACTGGCTGAACATTGTTCTTTTGCATTTATTAACACGGCAGTAAATGAGGGAAAATAAGAAAGGATGGCTAATCAAGTAAAAGGATATTGGATAGTCACTGATTACTCCTCACAATTATTGCTCACATAATATGAGATGCATTCCCATTTGAAAAATAATTCATTTTAACCATTTCTAATGAAAATGAAAAAATCACAGTCTGTCTAGGTGGAAAATTCAGTGTCTCAGGAGGAGGAGGAAGAACATTAGTCTGGTCTATCCTGGGATAACATTTCAAATGAGTTCACCATACAAAATATATTCATGTGGTATTTGTGTTCCAAGTGTAACTGTATTTTTGAAACTCTACTTTGTTAAATTTAAATGATATTAATTGTTGGGAAATACAAAAATAAGTCAAACTTAGATAAGTTTCCCATAATGCATTAATTTGTTGCATACTAGATTTATGGTATGACATTTACCTTCTGCAGATCATGAGAAGAGGCAAGTAACTGGAACCTGGTCGAAGTAGGTATCAATCTAAATGCCTTAAGAGAATTCACAAAATTCTGCTTGTTTTTTGAAGATGTGTTCTTAACAAAAATGAATTCTATGCTAAGAACTATATTCTTTGCCTGTTCAGGATTGTGCGCAGACCTGGAATGAGCACTGACATTTATGGGAAACTTTCAGGACCCATCAGCATGTATGCCATTCAAGTATCCCACAATACCTTATAACCATGCTGATCTAGAACAATGTTTCTCAGCCTCAGTAACTTTTAAGGTGTGTGGACTTCGACTCCCAGAATACCCCAGCCAGCATGGGGAGGGGAGGGGGTTAAGATGGTGTATAGAAACTTGCTTCTGCTGCTAATTCAACCTGCCATTGAAAGCATAGTGGATCATTAACTGCCCCCGTCTCCCAGGCATGAATCCAGCTCAGCTTGTACAGAATTGGAGCACACACATATACATACACACACAGTATTGTTATATTGAAAAACCTAAGCCAGATCTACAATATAAAGTCCTTCTCAACTCAAAGTAAAAATGTTAGAACATTTTCCCCTTGTCAGTATAGTAGAAATAAAAACTTTTTGTCAACTACGCAACTTCTCAGTGTATCCTATTTGGTAGACCAAAGAGGACTATTAAGCCTCTTGGCATAGAAGCAGAAGAGCTCATGATAATTCAAAAGGGAATAAGAGTATAAAATTCCTGCAAAAAATGTCATACAAACTGTCGTCCTATTGATAATTGCTGAGAAAAAAAAAAGCATATTGCTCTATCCTTGAAGTCTCTAAAACTAGGGATAGGAAACCTCTCATCTCTCCCCTGCAAGATAAATATGACCTGCAATCTAAACTGCCAAGAATCTTCTCCTTCCTCAAACTTTCCCAAATCTCAGGATGCCATCTTTGTTCTTGTTCGAGCAAGGAAATTGCTTCAGGTCTACTAAGTCTACTTCCTTTAGAAAGGACACTTTCTTGCACAGGATGCTCTGCTCCTTGACCTCATTGGAGTCTGGGACTTAATCTGCCCCTCTAGCTGGAAAGTTTTCCTTACTAATAATGTTTATAGAAAAAGAGCCAGCAACTACCAGTGTACTAATTCTTGAAATTGCAGCTGAAGCATAAAGGGAAACTGGTGTGTGATTGTGATGAACATTGAGAAGGCAGGAATCCTGATTTCATTTATGTGCAGTGTGCTAGCGAGGACTAACCAGGAAAGACAACATGGGTCGATAAATAAGTTGAGCCACATCACAGCTGGCTGTAAAAATGACAAAGTCTTGGTTGGGAATGAAAGTAAAACTGCCAGCATTGTTGTTATGTCTTTATACAAACTGATGGTTCATCCATACCTGGAATATTGTGTATAACTGTGGTTGATACACCTTAAAAAGAGTATCTGGAGAGCTGGAAAAGACAAAGAAAATGATATTTCTGAATTAATAACATTCTGTCAGGTTTATATCTTCAACATTGCAAGATCAAAGACAGAATTCTCCAGTTTTTCTAGCAGAGTACAAATTTTAAGGTTAGATTATTTTCAACAATCTAGGTCAGTAGACACATACATACCCCTTGTCCCTTCTAATAAGCCAAGAGAGAAAGTAAGAAGTTTCTTCTGCCTGAGCTGGCAGATGTGAGTCAGTGTCTAACAGCCCAGTGGCATGCCATCTAGAGGGTATTGGAGCAGATAACTCATTGGTGCTATTTGCAATTGAGGAGCAAGAAAGCATTGTAAGAGCTGACTAGCTCAAACGTTAGTCAGTAAAAATATGGCCACAGGAGCATAGAGCAAAAATACTTATTAGTTAATAAAACAGAATCTCTAAGCATTCTAATAGAATGATTTCCCTTTCTTAACAAATGTTCCATTTTTAGACTTAACAACCAATGCTTACAGTGTCAGGTTCGGTCAGCACGAGGCTTCAGGGAAGCACGGGGCTGCAGGGAAGCTCGCAACCAGACCACGCGGAATCCACCGGCGGTAGCTAGCGGGGA